CTTTTATTGGCTTACTCTCGATATTTCTTTATCTAAACCTTTAAACTATCTATCTATCTAGATATCCTCTATCTATCTATTTATGTATCCTTGGCACCTATATTTATGCCCACCTACTATTTTACAAGACTAATTCTTAAAAACTTCAACATAAAATGTTCGGTTTAAAAACTATAGTTTTTATCAATTGAAGACGGTAGATATTTGTGTTTAATCATTTTTATATCTTACTTCTTTCTTCTCACATTATTAAATTTTTGACACCAAAGGAATTGTGTTTGTCACAAAGGATGAGACTTTCTACGAATTCCTTTCAGTCTTTTTTCTAAAATTGATGGTTTTCTATATCTTTAAACTTACTGCTTTCTTCACCTAATCATGAAGCAAACCAATAGGAACAATAGGAACTATATTATAGACCGAAGAAGAACTAATTGAACCTCAAGATCGAAGGAAAAAAAATAGTTTCAGGTCATTGTTTGGGGGTAACCCTATAGCAAACATGAGAAATAAAGACGACGTCTATTGACTACAATAAGAATTGGTGTAATGAATATTGGATAACACAATATTCAGTAAATCTGAACTACGTTGTACATTATTTACTATCTAGGTTTGCAAACTTCTACGAAAACCCCATTATTTATTTGAACTGCGCTGCGCTAAATCCTTCTTGAAAGGTATATCCTTGGTTTAAACCCTCCTTGAAGATCTATCTGTCCTTGGTTTAAACCCTCCTTGAAGATCTATCCTTGGTTTAAACCCTCCTTGAAGATCTATCTATCCTTGGTTTAAACCCTCCTTGAAAGATATATCCTTGGTTTAAACCCTCCTTGAAGATCTATCTATCCTTGGTTTAAACCCTCCTTGAAGATCTATTCTTGGTTTAAACCCTCCTTGAAGATCTATTCTTGGTTTAAACCCTCCTTGAAGAGCTATCTATACTTGGTTTAAACCCTCCTTGAAGATCTATCCTTGGTTTAAACCTTCCTTGAAGATCTATCCTTGGTTTAAACCCTCCTTGAAGATCTATCCATCCTTGGTTTAAACCCTCCTTAAAGATCTATCTATCCTTGGTTTAAACCCTCCTTGAAAGATATATCCTCAGCTAAGTTCCCAAGCTTAATCTCTATTCTTCCAAGCATGTTTTCTTTGTAACTAAAGTATTTATGATTCGCCAAAAATGTTCTAAAATGGATTCAGAAAGCGCGCCAAAATTTGAGATTAGTAGGGATTTAAAGGATTTTACATTATCTAAATTTACTGGACTAAGTAGCTGCAAATTGTTTGATTTTAAAAATTGTGTTTTGTCTCATATTTTCATTATTTTTCATTTGCTTTTCAATTCCTATATTTATAAAAGATTAAGATACCCTTTTTTTCTAAAAAGAAATAAAATGTTGACCGCCATTTTACCTTTTTCTAATCATAAATTTTTCAGAAAGGAAAAATGATGTAAATCCTTTATGGCATTTTCATGTGTCACTTAGAATAATGTGAACAGTCTCTTAAGCATTTAAATATTTACATGAAGACAGGGTTTCCAATTAGATTTATTTATAAACATAAATACAGGTCGTGCGTGAAATAAACACTGGTCTGCTTTCAATCATGAGAATTACATTTACAGGCTCATTTGATAGTAATCTTACATCTGGCACAACACGGGGAGGGGGGCAGGTGGGTGATTTAGACGTCTGACGTCTTTAAGCGTCGACATGTCTTGTGATTTGCAAATAAATCCATTTTACGATGAACTATAGTTTTTATCAATTGAAGACGGTAGATATTTGTGTTTAATCATTTTTATATCTTACTTCTTTCTTCTCACATTATTAAATTTTTGACACAGGGCGAGGGGGGTAGTGTGAGGCCCCTACACGTTGTAGGGTTAAGGGCTCTGTAAGATGGGAGGGGGATAAGGAGGTGGAAGAGGTTGAGGTGATCCAGATACTGAGCGGTCATCCTAACCCTAAATTTAATCATAATTATAGGGTTAAGGGGTTTCTCTGGTTTCCTTTTTAACCACTAAACTCCCAGGTGCAGTAGGGTTAAACACCCTTTTGTATATCCAATCATTATCAATTTTTTTCCCGCCTAGCCTCTATTTTATCTTTGCTTTGCCTAAATCATTAAATTTCATTCAAAATGATATGCCAGACAGAATACAAAGTTTACAGATAGAGTCGTTTTATCTTTAGGTTTAAGGTCGCCATTAAAGTGGCATCCTTTGTGGGTAACCCTGTCTAATAAAATGGGATGTACATCTTATTTTTAAAAATTATTAACTTAATCCAAACTAAAAGCCATCAACAGAATACATTTGAAAACAGATTTGATTTTTAAATCTTGTCAATACTTGAAGGCGATCTTTTTTTGGGACCGGGTGTACTCTATATCCCACTATCAGCTCGTTACTCCAAAATGTCGAGAGAATATTCAAAATATTTTTGACCAAAATTTAGTAAATCCAGTTTAAAGGTTACAGCTTCCACAGATATCGGAACACAGAAAAAAAAACATGATCAGACGAACGATATGGAACTATTGTTTTATTTATTTCATTTGATCCTTATTTTATTCGAATATTTTATATTTTGTAGTTTTAAATGCAAGAGAGAAAATTTAAAGATTTTTAAATGCAACAGGTTAGTTTGTTTACAAAATGATCTTAAAGGTATATTAAAAAATCGATAATATTTGATTTTTTTTGTTTTTTTTGTTTTGTATGTGAGAGAAGGCAAGGTGTTGGATGCTCCGCAACTATTCGTAACATTTTTCCCACCTTCAGCCCTACAGCATACCTTGGGTTCATTTCTTCATCTATCTATCTATCCATATATCCATCTTCCCAACTATCTTTCAATCTATGAGAGAAGAGAATAAGAAAAGGTTATATTAGTCTTCAAAGCCAACCCCATGAGAAGATTTTTCAGTCTTCTGGTTAAGACTTTAGAAGATATTTATACAGTCTCCAAAGTCTCTACCCAACCCTGAGAAGAGATTAAGTCTCTTAATAAGCCCTGAGAAGACATTACCTCTTTCAACCCAACCCTAAGAAGAACATAACTCTCCCAACCAACCCTGTAGATATTTATATAGCCACCAACCCGATCCCAAAAAAGAGATAAGTCTCCCAACCTAATCCTGAGAGTAGTTTGCAGTCCCTTGCAACCCAACCATGAGAAGAGATTAAGTCTCCCAACTAACCCTGAAAAGAGATTACGGTCTCCCAGCCAATCCTGAGAAGAGATTAAGTCTCCCAACCAACTCTGAGAAGTTATTAAGTCTCCCAATCAACCCTGAAAAGAGAATAATTCTCCCAACTAACCTGAGAAGAGATTACAATTCCCAAAACAACCCTGATCTAGAAGAGTTTACAGCTTTCCAACCTAACCCTGAAAAGAACTTACAGTCTTACAACCCAACCATGTAAAAAATATTACAGTCTTCCAACCCGGCCGTTAAGAAGATGTTACAGTCCCACAACCCCACACTGAGCAGAGATTAAGACTCCCAGCCCAACCCTGAGTCGAGTTTACAGTCTCCCAAACGGACCCTGAAAAGAGATTAAGTCTCGACTCCCAACCAATCCTGAAAAGAAATTCAGTCTCCTAACCCAACCCTGAAAAGAAATTAAGTCTCCCAAACCAACAGCTCTTTTAAGAATGTACAATTTCCCAGCCTGAGACTTTAACAAATCTTCTATCTACTTTAACTCAAGTAAGGAGTATCCCCGTCAATATTCGTCTTCGATCTTTATAGATGGGTTCAGCTTAGTGGAACCCACCCATGAGAAGGGTTAAAAATAACGAGGATTGAATAGTTCTCCGGGTATACTCCTGGTGTGGGAGAGAGATGATCTAGTGGATCCGTCCTGCTGAAAGATCAGGTTTCTAAGATATCTGTCTAGATCCGTCCTATACTCACATATACTGTACATTTACAACCCTTTCTTAGTATTTCCAATCAATTTAAAAGGAAATAATATTTTACAACGATTCTCTTTAAAGTGTTTGAGATTTGAGCTTTTAATTATATTTTAATGAGCGGATTTCATTATCACCACCTGAGCAGCAATTTATCAAAGCTTTGTATATTCATAGTCCAAAAAATTTAGTCTTGATAAGTTGATAGATATATTTCAATATTATTATCTTAATTTATTTGAATAAGTTGTATTAATACACAGTAATCATCAAAAAATTATTCTCAATTTTTTTAAACCTAGAACCAAATATTTTTCTCATGTTCAAAGAATTAATAATGTCTTTTGAACACAATGTTCGTTTGTTTTGTTTTTTTAATTTCCTCCAACAAAGCACAGGACACCTTTGAGTGAAACTGGATTCTGATTATGTGTTTGGGGTTTGATATAGTCAATGAAAAATGATAATTAAGGGTAAATCACTTACCGGGGGGGGGGGCTGAAAGACACTGCCCCCCCCTTCCTCCTAGACTCATGAAAGGAACAATACAATTCTACTCTTGGCCCTTTGAAACTATTGCTGTGTGTGTGTGAGTCCCAAAAGGCATGATAATTCTGGGGTGGAGGGAATCAAATATTAACACAAAACCTACATTTTAAACTTTAAGTTTTATTCTATAAAATTTCTTTTTCTATTTATGGTCTTATGTATTTGAATTTCCTTATAAATAGTAAAGTTGTTTATTTAAATGTGCCTGACTCTATGATGAAATTGGTAAAGTTTTAAGTGTGTCTGACCCCCTACCCCTTAGGTCGCCCCCCCCCCTTCAGGTCGGTTCTTCGAAGTAAGCGCATAGTCCGTAGAAGTGTATTAGAGCGCCACCTATGTTCTCGCCTGGGAACTGGATTGAATGAAGCAACAGCGGTCTGAGAGACTAATCACGTGATCCAGATCGGGAGCTGAGCTGGGAGATTGGACCGTGTCCCGTCCCCTGCTGTCCTGTGCATTCTCCCGCCACGCGCATGCGCACTGCATTAGAGAGCAACAGCTGAGTGCCACAGTTTCTCTCCGAGTCCGAGGGATCCTCAGTCCTATACTGTCCTTGATCAAGAGTAGACGTGACACAAATCAGCTCCATGGACAACAAGGAGAATATTTTCACAATGTTTGATGAAGGATATTTATCCTGTTCGGAGATTTTCTCTGATACAATTCCAGCTAAATCTACAGCTCAAACCTATCAGAAAACCTACCCTAAGGTTCTTCAAGTAAAAGCTCAGATTGATAAAACTTTAACTTCCGATGACAGAGTTTTGACAAATATGATTAAGAACGAGAATAGATATCTACCCTCACACCCAGATTACTTCCGGTCTGTTCAGATAGAGATTAAACCTCACATGAGAAAGATAGTATCTGACTGGATGCTGGAGGTATGCCAGGAGCTCTGCTGCCAGCCGGAGGTCTTCTGCTTGGCCATGAACCTCATGGATAGATTCCTTGCTAGATGTCGCATCATTAAATCCCAGCTCCAGCTTCTTGGAGCCGTCTGTCTCTTCCTAAGCTCCAAGTTTAAGGAGACAGCTCCAATCCCGAGTGAAAAACTTGTGATGTATACAGACTTTTCTGTAACCCTGGAGGAAATCAGAGAATGGGAACTGATCGTCTTGCATAAACTTAAATGGGATCTTTGCTCCAGCACTGCTTTAGACTACTTGGATCATATCATCCCTCGTCTCATCATCCATCCCTCTGTTGATCATGCTAAACTCAGAAGACAAACCGAGACGATCATTGCTCTCACTTCAACTCAGTATCTTTTTTCTTATGTCCGTCCAAGTGTGATTGCATCCTCAGCAATTGCCGTCTCTCTTCGTTGCCTTCTACCAAACTTTTCCGAGGACGGAGCTAGACAATTCCTGACCAGCCTCCAAACCTTTTCCAGGGCCAACACCACTGACCTCGAGGCTTGTAGCAGTGCTATGATCCAAACCCTACCCTCCTACCTCACAACAGCCGTGACCTCCGACCCTTCACCCCCATCTCCTTCCCCTTCAAGTACATCATCATCAACACCGTCAACGCCAAACAATCAAAATACAAATTTTTCAGCTGATCTCAATTCTTCTCTTCCCCTTCAAGGAAGCTTCCAGCATATGATGGTCAAGTCTTGTTGATCGTATCATGCACAATGTAAATGGTGAAAATTGTATAAAAAAGAAATTTCCTTCAGAATTCATTCAGAGGCATTTTATCTCAATCTTTTAAAGAAACCGGGCATTTATTCGTCGGCTGTTAATTAATTATTTTATGTACAATCTATAAATTTTAATGTATTATATTATTATTCTTGTTTTTACAATAAACGTATTTAATATAACATATCTGTTAATTTAAAGATAAGGAAAGAATGTTAGATGTATTTTAAAGTTGTGGGAGAAGGAAAAAGAAAAAAAAGAAGGAGTGAAAGATTAGATGTTAGGTACTTTTTCATAGGATTTTTCCTAAGAGTATTTTCCCCAAGTGGCAACTTACCAATTGTGCATTCTTAAGTCTGTCGCAGCGCTCGGCCCTTAGCATGTTCTAGCAGCCTGTTGTGTCTCAGAGGGCCCAACCTAAACTTTGGAAACTTACCGCTTGGGGAATTGCACATTTGGGAAGTTGCCACTTGGGAGATTGTCTCTTGGAAAGTCTAACTTGGGAAAGTTCCTAACACCAAAAATTAAATTTTGTTGCAGTTAATAAAAGTTAGAAGGAAAATTAGTTTTCATCAAAGTTTAAAGGATATTTTGCAGCTACTAATAAGATATAAAGGATACTTCGCACCTAATCAAAGTTTAAAGAAATATGTAGAAACTGATCAAAGTTGAAAGATATGAAGCAGCTAATCAAAGTTTGAGGTATATGTAGCAGCTTATTAAAGTTTGAAGGTTATGTAGCAGCTTATAAAAGTTTGAAGGTTATGTAGCTGCAGCTAATCAAAGTTTTCAGTATATGTAGCAGCAAAGCAAAGTTTGAAGGATATGTAGCAGCTAATCAAAGTTTGCAGTAAATGTAGGAGCAAAGCTAAGTTTGATTAATATGTAGCAGCTAATCAAAGTTTGCAGTAAATGAAGCAGCAAAGCATTGTTTGAAGGATATGTATAGGAACAAATTAAAGTTAGAAAAAAAATTTAAGGAAATATAGCACTAGCAGCTAATCGAAGCTTCAAGTGTATGTAGCAACTAATTAAGAAATGTTTCCCTAGCAACTAATAAAATTTTTAAAGGAAATGTATAAATAAATGACAACAATTTTCATGAATTTATTAACATTTAAAGAAATTATTTCACGCAAAAAAGTTGGATCAAAAANCCTCTATCTATCTTTAACCATTATCTGTATTTTCTATCTGTGCTTATTCTCTTATCTGGAGCAACCCTAACCGCTTCCTTCCTTCCTTTACAACCAGGATAAACGCCAGGGATGAACGATGAAGGATGTTTCTCCGTCAACCTTGATCCTTCATTCATCATCCTTCATTCATCATCCTTAATCCTTGATCCTTTAATATTCATCCTTCATTCTTCATGATTCTTGCGATTTCATTTTTTTTATTTGGAAATTTTATATTATAGTAAAGTTTCATAATAAAAGTAAGAAAAATGTTTTATTGAAAAATATCAAGCTCAACAGCTCCATTCTTGGTTTAACAAATAACACATTTTTTGTCATAAGGTCTGAAAAAAACTTGTTTGCGTCGATTGGTTTATATAGACTAGTTCCTAACACC